GCAAGCTATCGGTTTGTTATTTAAAATAAAAAATCAATCTCTTCAACAATTCATGGGATTCAACGTGATATTCTCCATTTTAACATAACTTTCAAAATTAAATTTTTTCATATTTCAATTTCGAATTAAGAGAGAATAAAGTTTAAAAAGAATTTTGTAGAGAGAAAAATACAGAGCAAATTATGAGAACATTGTAATCGATGGATCGGAAAAGGTAATTTGATTTTATTTTTATGATTTTAATTTCAGGATTTTGCTTATTAGGTTGATTATATTTCGTTATTATTTTGCACGATTATTGTAAAATATCGTTGTTTTTTTTTTTCTTTCAATTTTGATATTTATGAATTTGAGATCCATATGAAAAACGTTGAAGATGATGTTCTTTTATTTTGTCAAAGGTTGAAGATGATGATCTTTATATTTTGTCAAATATTGAAGATGGTGTTATTTATAAATTGTACTTATGTTCGTTATAATAGTTACTAGATAAAGCCCGCGCGATGCACGGTTTGTTTGAATTTTGTAAAATAATATTTATTTTTATATATTTATGTGCTAAAATTTGTTATATATTTAGATAAAATTTCTGATATTAAAAAATAATATTTTATATTTCATTAATTTAAATTGGGAAATCTCATTCGCCAATTTTGCCGTGTCATTTAAATGATTTAATTCTAAAAGAAATTAATAATCTCGTATTTAATTGGCCACCATTAAAATTTATTATCCTACATGGCGCATTAAAAAAAATTAAATCTTACGTGGCTCTCTAAAAACTCGGGAAAAAACTCCCCTTTATATATATATATATATTAGATTGAACAATTATATGAATTTCTTTATTTTTATCCTTTATGTTCTTTGCTTCGATGTTCTTTGATTTATTCTGTATGTTCTTTGAATTATTATAATATTTTTTAACTAATATATCATTTACTAATTTTATATTTTTTTTAATATTAATTATCACTAACTACGCATATTTTTGTAAAATCAGGATTGTGGTTGATGACGATATTCTTTTGAGATCTCCTCCATTGATGATGGTTTTTCAGATCTAATGAACATCCGTAATATTACCGGATTCCTCTCCTTTGTTATGTTCACTTAAGATTTAAATCTAATCTATTAAACAGTTATATATATATTAGATTGAACAGTTATATGAATTTCTTTATTTTTATCCTTTATATTCTTTGCTTCGATGTTCTTTGATTTATTCTGTATGTTCTTTGAATTATTATAATATTTTTAACTAATATATCATTTACTAATTTTATGTATTTTTTAATATTAATTATCACTAACTACGCATATTTTTTGTAAAATCAGGATTGTGGTTGATGACGATATTCTTTTGAGATCTCCTCCATTGATGATGGTTTTTCAGATCTAATGAACATCCGTAATATTACCGGATTCCTCTCCTTTGTTATGTTCACTTAAGATTTAAATCTAATCTATTAAACAGTTATATATATATTAGATTGAACAGTTATATGAATTTCTTTATTTTTATCCTTTATATTCTTTGCTTCGATGTTCTTTGATTTATTCTGTATGTTCTTTGAATTATTATAATATTTTTAACTAATATATCATTTACTAATTTTATATATTTTTTAATATTAATTATCACTAACTACGCATATTTTTGTAAAATCAGGATTGTGGTTGATGACGATATTCTTTTGAGATCTCCTCCATTGATGATGGTTTTTCAGATCTAATGAACATCCGTAATATTACCGGATTCCTCTCCTTTGTTATGTTCACTTAAGATTTAAATCTAATCTATTAAACAGTTAGGTATTATATACACCTCTCTCCAAAGTGCTGAAATAATTTTGTTTACTTTGAAATAATACAAATATACACCCTCCGTTTTATAATGATGTTCTCTGTTGAAATTTTTTTATTTTTAAAAATAAAAAAGAATTACCTTAATTTCTTAGGCATACGGGGTCTAATATGATTCGTCTTGTTGAGTACATTATTAATATCTAACTTTTACAATTTTTGCTCGTATAACAATAAAGATATTTGTGGTTAAAGATTTGCAAAAATTTACATTGATCATGTAAATAAAAATAGGAAAATTTGACATTTGCTACCAGCGAAAACACCTTATGTCACATTTACTACCCGTTTAATCTTTTATTTTATTTTACTACTACCCAAATTCCCGAACTATATATATCACTACCATATAACGGTTTATGTCAATGTTACCGTTAAGTAGGGCCCAATTTATCCTTCACCACACTAATTTATTAACCTACACTACACTAACCACTCACCAACACTCCCATACTCCCAGCTCCTCACGCAAACACATCACTAACCCCTGTCAGCCGCACCTCCAGCAACACAACCATTCATACCATCACCGACATCACATCAAACCACTGCAAACTGCCACCAGCGCACCCACAACATCAAACCATTGCGAATTCCTTGTTCTCTCCAACATCACCAAGCTCATCCCACACTTCAACCCCCACCGCAACACTGCAACGAGCACATTCAGAACCAACACTGCCGCCTGCAGGCTGCAGCGCCACCACAAAAAGCGCACTCCACCAGCAGCCCCGCACCACCATAACCGACAGCCTAATCGAACAAATATCAGCCCGCAAGAAACTCTAATTCAGCCCGCAATTTTAGCATTTGGAGCCCCATGATTGGAAATTAACGCCCCAATTCAACCAAAGATTCAGAGACTCTAGAGCGAAATTGATGAAATTGGGCGATTGAGAATTGAGGCGTTGAATCGAATCAACGGCTGCGATTTGATGATGATTGAAGGTGAAGCGTTTGAAGATGTTGATTTTAGATGATGGTGGATGGAAGAAGCGAATTAGAGCAGCCAAAGAAAATGAACAGGGGAGGGAGGCTGATGATGTAGCGGTGATAGTCGGGGGGAGAGGCTTAGCTCTGACGACGGAAAGGGGCTGGCTGGTCGCCGGCGAGGGGAGGGGGTGGCAGTGAGGTTTCGGGGCAGTGTTGATGTGGAAAAGGAGGTTGAACGGTGGCAGTGAGGTGGCTTGGGTGGTAGTGTGGTGGCTGAACAGTGGTTGGGCCCCACTAACGGATAAGTAACGACATAAGACAACAGGTAGTGAAATCTCTAATTTTGGGATTTGGTGGTAGTAAAATAAAATAAAAAATTAAACGGGTAACAAATGTGACATGAAGTGCTTTTGCTGGTAGCAAATGTCAATTTTTCCATAAAAATATTATTTTGAAAATAGAGTAATTACCATAACCCCATTTTATCTAAAACATTTAAAAATTTATCTAGAATTAAAGTAGCTATTTTATTGGGTTTGACTTGCTAATAGGGTCTCTATCTCTCCTAAGATATTAGTGTTCTCCTACATATAACATATAATCCTCAAAAGTGGTAATTCTTACACTAAATATTTAGTTATGAGTAGAGGTGTCAATTTGGATAATTGGATAGAGTTTGGGTCAGGTCTATTTGGGTTGGGTCTGATTGGGTCGGATATATTCGAGACAAAAGTATTCTTTTAATTTGGATCGGGTTGGGTCGGGTCAAATTCAGGTCGGATCAAATTCGGGTCATGGTCTATCGAGTGCGGGTCAGGTATGGGTTGGGTCAACTCCAAATCGATTCATGTTCGGTTCGGATAAATTCGGATCGGGTTCAAAATGGGTTTAATAGGGTTAATTTCGGGTCAGATGAATTGATGATTTTGATTCGGTCAAGTTCGGTTTAATTAAGATAAGGTTGATCCGTTAATTCATTAATTGGTCAATTTCAATTCAATTCTTTTTGTGTTTGGTTGGATTTGAATCGAGTTGTCCCAATTCATATACAAATAAGGTTATTTTAAAACTAGAATTATTATTAAGTTTTTACCTTATTATTGGGTCAATATCTAGTCATTCATGTATCATATTTTTTTATTAAGTTGAAAGAAGAGGTTTTAATGTTCAAGTATTACAAATTTTTTGTAGTAAATTTTAATGAGACGAATATAAAGCTTAGAAAGTAACTTTATATAATTGGTATATACATGAAGTAAACTTGTTACTCCGGATTATTTCTTTGTAGTAAAAAACTTTAACTTATTAAATAATTAGTAAATATAGGGTAGTATAAGAACTTGAATAAAAAAGTTAATAATTAATTATGGTCGGGTTAAATTCAGATCGGGTAAAAATCAAATCGAGTTAAAATTGGACTCGGGTTATCAGTTCGTGTCAAAGCAGATCGGATTAGATAGGTTATTTACAGGGTCAATTTCGGATCGAGTTGAGCTCTGTCGGATCAAATCGGTTTGGTTTGAGTTTAGGTCGGGTCAAAACGAATTCGGGTTGAGTTCAGGTCGAATCAAATCGGTACCGGGTTAAGTTCAGATCAGGTCAAGTTCGGATTTGGGTTGAGTTCAGTTTGGTTACAGATCGGGTTTGGGTTTTGAATTTCTCGGATCAAATCGAATCGGTCGCAGTTCGAAACAGATAGTTTTTTTCGAGTCAGTTTGGTTTTGACACCTCGAGCTACCAGTTTATAGTTGAGCTCGTAGAATTAAACATTGTTTTAGTGTGAAGGCTGAAGTGAATCAGTAAACCACAGTAATATAATTTGATAGCAAATGGTAGTAGGCTAGTAGCTCCATTCAATCACCTTTAGCTGGAGGTTATTCACGATCCCAACAGTCGATAATTGTTCTTTAGTTAGTTTAAACAAATATCTCCTCTACTTATAAATAGTTGCATCACTTAAAATTTTATATCTCAACTTTTGCTATTAAAGGCTTGTTCTTTTCAGATTATTTTCCGTTCATTTTAGTTTTTAATTTTCTTCTCTCACAAACTATTCAGTTCAACTCAGTTCACTTAATCAGAACAAGACCTAACTTCTTCAATCAATCGATAATTTTTACAAATGAATTTAATATTTTACAATAGAAATTAAAACTACGGAGTAATTCACTACATTATTGTTTATAAACTTTTATTTATATAAATTATTTAAGCAGGGACTAAGCTATGGGTTTTTTGGCAGGAGCCCCGACCCCCCTATAGCCTAAAAATTTTCATTGAAGATTAGTCATTAACGTTTTTTTTTTTTTTTTCCTTCTGGGTGAAGTGTAATGTTGAGTCTTACCTCATGTTTTCTTAATTTCGCCTCTGTTAATAAGTCAAAACGTATAACTTCTTGTCTACTATTCCATATTTACTTAACATAGATAGTACTACAATTGAGAACTGAAAATATTACCTCATCCCAAAACCGAAATCGTGTGCTGTATGCCTGTATGTAACAACTTGATCGACGTCCTAACACTTTCAGTCGTCATGCTTGACTTTTCAATATTTGATATTTCCATCATCTTTATCATAACTCACTCACACGTAATATCAATTAATTTCCCTATTGAGTATTGAACTATTTACTTCCCCTAACACCTTTTATAACATAATTATCCACTTCTTAATCATAATCAACTCCTTAATTTTCCTCTACTTGATAACTTCAATGGCTACCTTCTCCCACCACCACCTCCTCCTCATTTTCTCTCTCCTCACCGTCACCTCCGCCGCTCCCTCGTTCCGCCCAAAAGCCCTAGTCCTCCCCGTCTCAAAAGACCCTTCTACACTCCAATACACAATCAACCTCACCCAAAGAACCCCTCCTGTCTCCGTCCCAGTAACCCTCCACCTTGGCGGCCCATTCTTATGGGTTGACTGCGATCGAAACTACGTTTCCTCCACCTACCGCCCTGCTCGATGCAACTCCGCACAATGCTCACTCGCCGACTCTAAGTCATGCGGTTCTTGCAACTCACCCCCTAGGCCCGGGTGTAACAACAACACCTGCGGCCTTAGCCCCGAAAATCCTTTCATTAACACAGCCACCATAGGCGAGCTCGCCTCCGATGTGGTTCAACTCACCTCCACCGACGGCTCAAACCCAGGCCGAGTCGTTTCAGTACCCAACTTCTTCTTCACTTGTGGTCCCACTTTCTTGTTAAAAGGCCTAGCAAAAGGAGTCCAAGGTATTGCAGGGCTAGGGAGGACTAAAATCTCTCTTCCTTCACAATTCTCCTCAACTTTCAGTTTTGTTAGAACACCACCAGAATTTGTTGATTAGAGAATTGATCTTGGATGTAACACGACGAGGGCACCAGTAGAGCGACAAAATATGGTGTGAAATCGCTACTAGAATTCCATTAATCAATACAAGCTTCCCTGGTTGATTCAGAGAAACAAACTTCCAAGAGAAGATTTTCTTTTGAATTTTCTCTAGGAGGCAATTAAACTTAGAGCTTGTCCTACCATCAACATCCATTGGACAACCAAGGTAGATCCCTAACTCCTTGCAGCTTTTGACTCGAATAGGCTGCCTCATTAGTCGAACAAAACGAGCTGGCGTATTAGGGCTAAAAAGGACTGCCGATTTGTTTTCATTAATAACCTCCCCTGAAAGAAGACAGAATTGATCCAAAACATTTTTTACACACCTACAGGAGGTTGGCGTTTCCTTGAAGCACAAGAGCGCATCATCTGCGAAGAAGAGGTGATTAATTGGGGGGCAGTTCTGGCTAGCTTGATACCCTGTATCACCTTCGATTCTTGGAGTGGGCATAATTTCCTTGAAAGGACCTCCATTACCAAGATGAAGAGGTAAGGTGATAGCGGATCCCCTTGGCGAAGCCCAGCTCTTGGTGTGAAAAAACTTGTTGGTTCACCATTCACCAGGACTGCATAAGAAACTGTTGAGATGCATTGCAAAATCCAGCGTATCCAAGTCCCCGGGAAATTCATTTTTTCCAGGATGATTTTTATCAAATCCCAGCTAACTCGGTCATAGGCCTTACTTAGGTCGATCTTTAGAATGCCCTCAAAACAGCCCCCTTTCTTTCTTCTTTTTACTACAGAGAGGATTTCGTGGGCTATGTAACAATTATCAATCATAAGCCGTCCTGGGATAAAGGCATTTTGAAGATCTCCTATTAAATCAGGGAGGATGTGTTTAAGTTTGTTAACTAAACATTTGGAAATGATTTTATAGAGGGAATTACAAAGGCTGATGGGGCGAAATTCCTCGACTTTTTTTGGTTGGTTGACTTTTGGGATGAGGGTTATATAGGTGCGATTTGTTTCTTTGAGCATATAACCCGTATTGAAAAAGTGTTGGACTCCCCTGATCACATCCTTCTGGATAGCGGCCCAATTTTGTTAAAAAAAACATTGGTGGGCTTCCATCTGGGCCCGGAGACTTGAGTGGATGTGGGTCAAAAGCTACATTCTTGATTTCCTCTCTTGAGAAAGGCTTTGAAAGCCAATCTAGATGGGCTGGTGAAAGAGTTGGGAGATTCCCCGTCCATTCATCTCTCAGTTTGCTTGCTTCCTCGGACTGGGCTTGCTGGTCCATAGGCCCATCAAAGAGAGATTTGAAGTAGGCTAGGAATTGGGCTTTAATTTCTTGGCTACTATTGATCTAGTTGCCATGTTCGTCTTGGATCACCCTTATTTCATCTTTCAGGGATCTTTGTTTTACACTTTTGAAGAAAAAGGACGTAGGTTGATCACCCAACGAGTCCCATTTCGATTTTGCTCGTTGCCTCCAGTACCATCACCTAAATGAGGCTTCATCCTCAAGTTGTTTCCTGTTAGATATTTCCTCACCTTGGTCCAAGTCCGTTATTAAGGACTCTTCTTGTTGTTGCTCCTCCAATTTCGATTTTAACTCCTGCCAGTTAAGGCCCATGAAGGCTCCTTTCTTGCTAATACACCAATCTCTAATGCCATTGAGACAATGTTTCAACTTCCTTTGGGTTTTATATAGCGGTGATCCGAAAACTTGCATTCTCCAGGCGGAATCAACCAAGTCTTCTATCTCCTTCAATTTAAGGCTCCACGCTTCCATCTTGTATGGTGTCTTCCTTGTGGCATCTTTAGGTTGCACTTCCAATATAATGGGCGCATGATCCGAGAAAACTATTGGAAGATTCCAGATTATAGCATTTGGGAATGACAATTTCCACATATTATTTGCGTAGGCCCTATCCAATTGTTCATAAATGGGATCATCCACTTTATTGTTACACCATGTGAATTTTAGGCCAATTGATTGAAGTTGAATTAGTTTGTTCTCTAGTTTACATGGCAAGAAATATGATAGACCATTCACTAACTCACGTCCTCCTAGTTTTTGGTCTATTGATTCAAGTTGGTTAAAGTCTCCAATGAGGATGTAACTTCCTTTATGAGATTAATTGCATGAGGTTGCCTATCATGGTCCACACCTCTTCGCGGCTTGAGATATAGAGACTACCATACACACAAGCGAGGTAATACAAAACGCCATCAACTAGAGTTATATTACACAGGATAACATTCGGACGTACTACAATGACATCTACTACCACTCTATCCGATCAACAGAGGAACATACCTCCTTTGTTGGCTACTGCATCATACCCAGTACTATTCTTAAAGCCTTTTCTACTGAAAAAAGGAGCTAAAGACTTGACACAACACTTAGTTTCACTAAGAAAAATAAAGTCAACGTTAAACCTAGCCGCTAAGATCATCACTAAGGGGAAAACCGGGGAGCTATGATCACTCGCTCCCCTCCAATTCCAACTGATGCAACTCATTTTCCATCCAGAGGCTATGGGCCAGCCGTGCCGTCAATTGGTGACTTCATAGGTCCTGTACTACTGACCTCATCATCAGAATCAATGGTATCCTCTCGAACCACCACTCTTAGCACTTGAATCCTTGTTGGTAGGTTGGCAGCACCTTCCAGATCCTCCATCTTTTCCCATAAATCATCTTCCCTACTAACCCCAAACTTACACCTCTTTACTTCCCCTTGACTCATGCATTCCTCCATCTCCTCCCCTGATCTCCCCTGCTTCTGCTTAGAGCTGGATGAACCCTTAAGGTTCCAGGTGAGATAGAGCGATTTGTCTTCTGGGATGTCCTTAGCCACTCCGGAGCTCCATTGCTTCTTTCTCGGACCCTCTTCTGAGAATCTTCTACCCCTCCTTCGTTTGTATAGTATCTTGCGCTGTTCATGCGAGTAGAAATCCAGTTCAAAGTCCGACGATTCCTGGCTGGAGGTTAGTTCGTTCGATCTTACCCAGATTCAGAAGAGACTCCATTGAGCCTGAAGAGATGGAGGATGGGGTAGTGTTGAATGATTCCACAGAGATTGGAGAGTTTGGAGGGCTTACATCTGCCTTCACCAGTGGGAGGGAGAATTTTGAAGAACTAGAATAATCCGGCTGCATGGGTCCTTTCTGTTTAGGCCATTTGTGAGCCGGGTTTTTAGAAGAGGAATTTGCACAGAAAAACTTACGGGTAAAGTTGGATTCTGCTATCAGAGAGTTTAGTGAAGTGTAACCATGAGACACTTGTGAAGCACGGAAGGTTTCAATCTCCTCTTTGTTCGCCATAAAGAGGGGGAATGCAAATTCGAGCTCTCTAATGAGGGGGTCAATAAGGATATTCTTTGGTCGAAAAGGGTCAAGGAGAGGGTTAAGAGTATACACTCTATCAGTGGGTAGAAGGGAAACTTTATAGTCACTATCAATTTCCATTTTTGAAGTAGACATAGTGAAGGGGAAGTTGATAGTTGGCTGTTTGGTTGAAAAAGGTAATATGTTATTAAAGGAAGATATGATGGGGTTATTGGGCGAAAAAAGTGGGGGATAAACTTCATGTTGTAGGGAATAAAGAGGGAGTTCAAACGAGTTCAACTTTGAGTAGTCATCAATGCAGGTGGGTGGGATGGTAGGAAGGGAGAAGTAATTAGAGCAAGGAAATGAAGAGGTAGGAAAATTACTATCTGAAGTAAATTTCCCCCCAGAGGAGTGAACAGAGTGCCAGCGTGGAGCCATTTTGTGTCTCGAGGCAAAGGAGTTAAAGGGTTGACAGACTTTCCATGGATATTAGGCCAAGTCAAACATACAAACAAGTCAAGTTTAGGGGGGGTGGACTGATGCACTAATAAATAGGAAGTTGGAATAGTAGAAGGTGGTTGAGTACCTGGACTTGGTTGAGAACGGTGTAGCACGGGTTGCGAGGAGTTGTGCTCCTCCATTGTTGCGCCATTGTATCCCAATTTCCGGTTGTCTTGCACGGATTCCGGGGATGACCAACCTGTGCATAGTTTTCTCTTTTTTCGCTCAATTGAACTGGAATGAGTAGCTGAACCAGATCGAGTACACCAATTTGTAGCATATTTCCTCTTTTGTTCTGTACGGATGAGGGGCTTCATGATGTCTTTCCATATCGAAATTCTTCCCCCTTTAGATTGGAGGGAAGGAATAATAATAGGAGTCAGATCATCTAAGCCTCGCCTAGCTCGGATTGAGGATTTTTCTAATTGCAGACGATTGTCTCTTTTGTCTTCATCACATGGGGGATGGATCTCTATCCCTGGATTTTGCTTCTTGTTTGAATCATTCTCACCCCGAACATCCTCCTTATCATTGGTAGGGCTGTGCACGGTGCTGTTTGGTGCGGTTTGGATCTCAAACCGCACCAAACCGCAAAATTGCGGTTTGTGATTTTTTCAAACCGCACCAAACCGCACCGCAAAATACGGTTTGGTGCGATGCGGTTTGCGGTTTTTCCATAATTTTTTTACCTCACAAATAATGATTATTTGCTAATCTTATGTTATGAAATTTTTACTTAGAAACTGTACAACTATGCAAATAATTCAATAAAGAAGTAGTGCTTTACTTCAATGTTAATTGTGACCCAGTAACATGCCAAGGCAAACATGGAGCAAAATCATTAAGTAAACCACAACCACTCCATTACAACTCCAAAGCACAAGAAACGGAGAGTAATAAGAAAGGAAAACTTTGGTTTTCTTAATAATGACCCACACAATTCAGTACATATAAATACAATATAAGAGTCTTATTTCCATATAAGAGTCTTTGCATTAAATTGAGGTTTGCGGTGCGGTTTGGCTTGAAATTTTCTTGAAACCGCACAAACCGCAAAACTGCGGTTTGGTCAAATTTGAAAACCGCACCGTAATTTCCAAACCGCAAACCGCACCAAACCGCAAAATTGCGGTTTGGTTTGCGGTTTGGTGCGGTCTAGACCGTACTCTGCACTGCCCTAATCATTGGAATGGGCATCCTCTGTTCTCTTTCTTACTCTATTTCTAGGCCCTGGATCTCCAGAGCTTGGTGGACCATCCGAGGACGAGGACGAGGAGCCTTGGTGCGTCCTACTCTGTTGACTATTTGAGCTGTCATTCCCTGGGGAGTTCTGGAAGGGTGTATATTCAGACGAAGCTGATGTCGGGGTTGGATGGGGGTACACCCTGAGATTGACCCTCGCTGTTCTGAAGCGCTCTACATCAGGAAATCCCATAATTTTCTTTGAATAGAGAGGGTTTTGAGATCTGGCTATGAGCAAGTCATAATTCAGCCCACACAGTCCCCTTATCCTATAGCTAACTTCTCTATGAGCCAAGTGAGTTGGAATCCTACAGTGAGGCTGTCTATGGCCAATTCTACCACATCCATGGCAGAGTAAAAAAACTCCTTCATATCTTAACAAGATCCAGATAGCTTTCTCAGGAGTCATCTCATAATAGAAGCCTGGCACGAGTGGTTTTTGGATATTGACCACCACTTTTGCTCTCATTAGACAATGAGGCCTATCATCAAGTGAGGGTTGATCAAATCTTATGATCCTACCTACTCTCTCAAGTATTCTCCTTGTAACCTGGGGCTGGCATTCCTCTGCAGGTAGTCCTTCCACTCTAATCCAGATTGCTATTTCTGAGAAATCCAAGTCCAGAATGCTCATGCCCATTTGCCATGCCTTGAAGGCGATCATTGCTCCTTTGTAAGGAGCTGCTCCAATGGACAATAGATTGCCTCTATCATCCCAAGATGTACAGAAGAAAAAGAAGAGGTCCTTAGCATGACTTGCCTTTTGAACAATTATAGCTGAATTCGTTTTCCAAAACAAATCAACCCAGTTTTGGATTTGAATTTCTGAGAACACTCGATCATCTATCACCTTCCCTACAACTGCAAGACTATATTTTTCTACATCCTCCGGGTAGTCGTGGGACTGTTTTGGGATTCCAATTCCCATTCTGTTAAGAACTGATTGAGTGCACTGATGATTCATGGTTGGGATTTAGATCAGTATGAAAAATAGAGTTGAAAAAAGAGTTACTGTTTAGACGGTTACTCTAGTGTTTTCCTAGAGAAAGGGACACTCTCTAAGTGTTAGAGAGAGAATAGTGCACTTTCTGGTTTGGAATTAAGGAAACCGAAAGTAAACAAAACAAGCAAAAAGCACCAAAAAAGCTAGACTAAACTATGTCTAGATTTATGAAAAATACAATCATGTGAAATATTGTTAGATTTAATTTGTCTAATGTGATCAAATTTTATACTCCGTATATTAAATTTTAGTTATTGGTATATAATTAAATTTATGGAAATTGATAAACATAGCCTTAACGGAAATATTGAGGATAAATTTACATTAAGATATCAATAAATTTACATTAATTACACCAATCTACGCGTAATTTTGTCATGAATTCCCAACTTAATTCTATTTTAGAAAGTATATTTAATGCTTATATCTATCCCTAATGGCTACATATATCATTACCTCCTATATTATAGATGAAAAATATAATTAGAACTCAAAACTAAATTCGTCTTAAAACTATAAAAACCACAAATAAGAACATTGTTTAGGGCACATGAAGTACAAAACGAAGATAAATTCGGTCCTAAATTGATACTTCATAAAAAGTAGGAAAATTTTTCTGGAAGGGACTTATATCTTCAATCTTTTTTCTGGAAGGACCTTATATATTCAAAGTTGTCTAAAAGGACCTTATAAATATGTTTTGTTGCCTAGAGGGACCTTGACGCCGGATTCCGGTGTTTAACTTTTTTCTCCGGCGTTGATCAGTCACGTGACTATCACGTGACTTTAAAAAATCATCCTCCCTCTTATTTTTTTCCCTTTTCCCTCTAATTCACATTCTCTCTCTTCTGTTCCCCCTAAATTTTTCCCCAAATTTTTCCTGATCAGAGTTCTATGAACACCTTCCTTGCTCCTCATCATCTTGTTCTTCAAGTTCTCATGTTCATCAATCAACATTCTCTTCTCATTTTCCATACAAGCCACCTTAGCCTGCAAAACATTCATATATGTAGCCAATCTTTGTTTTTCAGATAGTAGAACATTAGCTACATCCTTCTGCCACTCCAAAATATCTTCATCAACAGCCCATTCAAAGTAGTCACAACCCTTCTCCCATGTCTCGAAATTATTAAATTTGCAAGCTTTAAATCTTTTGCCTGGATTTTCATGAGTCCATGAAGTCCTTTGCGCAAGAGGAAGACCACAATTGCACTTTGATAACTTCCTTTTAGTCGAAACATCCTTCAACAACCAAAAAAAATGATTTCAGACCAATTGAGTTATAAACCCTGATTTCCAAACAACTAAACTTAGGCTTAAAACAATGGGATTGGGAAAAAAAAACGTAAGAATTGTTCTCACATGATGCGAAAAGGACTTAATCAAACGCTGCTTGCTTGTATTTCTTCGAAAATTAAGGAAATCAAATTGATTAGATTTAGCCAGCTTGTTTCGCGAGGAGAGAGAAACAATTTGGGTAAAAATTTAGGGGGAACAGAAGAGAGAGAATGTGAATTGGAGGGAAAAGGGAAAAAAAAGAGGGAGGGTGATTTTTTAAAGTCACGTGATAGTCACGTGACAGGTCAACGCCGGAGTAAAAAGTCAAACACCGGAATCTGGCGTCAAGGTCCCTCTAGACAACAAAACATACTTATAAGGTCCTTTTAGACAACTTTGAACATATAAGGTCCTTCCAGACAAAAGAGTGAAGATATAAGTCCCTTCCAGACAAATTTTCCTAAAAAGTACTCCCTCCGTCCCTTAATACAATGCCTCTTTTGAGCATTTTTTCCTCACATAATAAAGAGAAAGATGCATTGTATTAAGGGACGGAGGGAATATTTATTAAACTTATTTTGTTACAAAATTAAAAAAGCTTTTAACTCACACAAAGTGTTATATGTGGCTGGTCACACCGTATGGCCAGCCACTATAGGGGTTACTTTGCTAGTGTAATTAGGGTTACTTGGTCAGTGTTAAAGGGTATAACATTGTTATAGAGTTACTCGGTCAATGTTAATTATGTTATAGGGGTTACTCGGTGGTATTATAGAGGTTACTTAATCAATGTTATAGGAGTTACTTTAAGTGGCCACACGGTGTGGCCGGCCACACACAAGACGGGTTGTCAAAAGATATTCTTGGTGCACGTATCTCCGTACCTCCAATATTGGATAAATCATGTACTGCAATTGTAACCCAAGCACACCCAAGACTTTTCCACAATCTATAATTCAATCATATATTTTATCAATAAAAAATCGTCATCATAAAAAATAAATAAGTTGGACCTACATACAGCCCATAGAACTCACAACAAACGCAAGTGAAACTATCAAAGCGTAAGTTAGTTGACCACTTCACTCATAGTACCTTAAACAAGTTGCCACATTTTGAAAATTCTTATCATACGTAGGACAAAACTCCAAACCAATTTTGCCTTACGGTAGGACCGCCAATGCCTATCCACACACGCTATAAATATAAATGCACAACCCCTTTTACACTCACTCTCATATTCCACTACACCATGACTTCCTATTTCAAACACTACCTCTTAACCTTTTCCCTCCTCATCAATCTAATCTCCACCACTTTTGCCGCCTCGGCCTTCCATCCCAAAGGCCTACTTTTCCCGGTCTCTAAGGATGCTTCAACCCTTCAATACATAGTCAAAACCACTCAAAGAACACCCTCCAAATTCGTACCCTTAACACTCGGCCTTGGATCTCCATTCTTATGGCAAGATTGCGATAAAGGCTATGTCTCCTCCACCTACCACCCTGTTCCTTGTAACTCCTCCCAATGTACTCTAGCCGGTTCTACAGCCTGTGGTACTTGCAACTCACCCCCTAGGCCTGGGTGTAACAAAAACACCTGCGGCCTCTCCCCTGAGAACCCCTTCACCAACACCGCCACCAGTGGTGAGCTTGCCACTGATGTGGTACGAATCAACTCCACCGATGGTGCAAACCTCGGTAGAGTTGTCACCACACCAAACTTTCTCTTTAGTTGTGCACCCACCTTCTTACTAAAAGGCCTAGCAAAAGGTGCCCAAGGTGTTGCTGGATTTGGAAGGACTAAAATCTCCATCCCATCTCAACTTACCTCCGCTTTTAATCTACCAAAAAAGTTTGCCATTTGCTTAGCCTCTTCCGTTAGTGATGAGGGTGTGATATTCTTCGGCGATGGTCCTTACACACTTTACCCTGCACCAGTTGTTACTGCGGCGTCTCTTTCATACACCCCACTTTTGGTTAACCCATCCTCCACTTCCGACTACTATATAGGAGTAACATCCATCAAAATCGAAAACACCTCAGTTCCGATAAACAAAGCTTTATTATTAATAAATAAAGGAAAAGGCGGTACCAAGATCAGCACAGTTCACCCTTACACCATCATGGAAAGTTCTATCTTCAACGCTGTAAGCTCCTACTTTCACAAAGAACTCAAGAAAGAGTACATGAAATATGATGGATATAATGCAACAATAGTAAAGGCGGTCGCCCCGTTTAAATTATGTTATGATAGAAGCACACTGTTAATTACTAGGCCAGGAGTTGAGGTACCTACTATAAAACTGGTGTTGCAAAGTGAGAAAGTCGAGTGGGCGATAAACGGATGGAACTCAATGGTGACGGTAAAGGATAATGTAATGTGTTTCGCTTTTGTAGATGGCGGAAAGAACACAGAGACATCAATAATATTAGGAGGTTATCAGTTGGAAGATAATATAGTGCAGTTTGATCTTGCTAAGTCTAGGCTTGCGTTTCATTCGTTTTATCTGGAGAGTAGATGTTCCAATTTCAACTTTACTATAGCATAAGTTATTTAAGATCAAATGTGATCTTGGGACTTATAGATGTATTTTAAAGTTATATATATATATATATATATATATATATATATATATATATATATATATATATATATATATATATATATATATATATATATATGAATCCAATAAAGTTAAGTTGAATCGAAGAAATATTATAGGTTTAAGGCTTTGATCGGCGGATATATGAATCCAATAAGTTTAAGTTAGATCATATTGAAGAAATTTTACTACCTCCGTTACATATTATCACCACAAGATATTATATCAAAAAGGGCAATTTAAATCGCCCTCTTAGGTTCAAATTTCGCCCTATTAGGCAAAGAGGGCGATTTTAAAATCGCCCCCAAGTCGCCCTATTAGCTTCAAAGGGCATACAAAATTTTTGCCCTCTTTGTTAAATATCAAAGAAGGCAAAAAATTTCGCTCTCTTTGCTCTAAAATTAGAGGGCAAAGCTAAAATTTCGCTCTCTTTGCTCTAAAATTAGAGGGCAAAGCTAAAATTTCGCCCTCTTTGCTCTATTATAGAGGACGAAAACTAAATTCGCCCTCTTTGCTTTGAAATAGAAGGGCGAAAGTAAATTTCGCCCTCTTTGCTCTGTAATAAAAGGGCAATTATGTGAGGAATAAATGCTAGAAGTATTATCTTGTTGTAATTTAACAATATATTTGTTTTTTTTTTTTTAAAAAAAAAAATTTGCATACCCTAATTCCAATAAATCAAACATTAATTATTAGGGCCCAATTTATAAGTTCGCCCATAGGCCACCAATGTCTCAGAAACGGGGCTGTATATGAGAGTAAGCTGTAAGGAGCTTATTTTAACTTACCTAAGGAGCTTAGATAAATAAATTCATTGCGTAGGAGGTTTAAATCACCATTATTTTTTTCAATCAAATAACACATTTTTTAGCTAGACTTCCTAGCTCACTCCCATATTTAAAAAAAAAAAACCTTAATAAACGGATCCATATAGACTTAGATCAGATGTGTGAAACATAAACTTAACTTGACTGACCTGATATAATCTGACCCGAAAAAAGTCGGATACATATTTCAACTCATATGAACATAATAATATAAAATGACTCATCTTTGAAATAGACATAATTGAAGCTCACCAAACCCGACCCAACTACCCCAAGTTAACACCTCTATGCATTGCGATCTTTGCGCATGCACTTGTCTTATCTAGTACCACTGTTACATATTAGTTGCTACTTTGGAAATATCGAAAAAATTCCTAACTTACAACTAATACGTCACGAATATGGTAATGTACTTCTACATATCATCGTCTCATATTATAAGTTACAACTAATATGTTGCGAATGTGGTAATGTACTTCTACATATCATTGCTTCATATTATTTAATTTGCACCTTTTTTTCATCTTCAATAGTGTCAAATTAGTTGTACTTTCAACTATCACTTATGAAATGAAATTGACTTGTTGTTAACTTCTAATGTCTCTTTCACTTTACTTTGAACCCAGTAGTTAATTATGATAATATAACACCCCGTATCTAAATAAAATAAAAAAAATAAAAACATAACAAAATTCCACATCTAGTTTCCTCTATCTATAATAAAATTTAGGCCTTGTTTTGGAGTTAGTTGTTAGTTGTTAGAGATTAGTTGATTGAGTTAGCTGCTTTGACTAGCTGATTGTGATAGTTTATTTGACTAACTAATTATATCAGCTGTTTGTGTAAAACTGTTTGATAAGTAGCAGCTAGCTCTTTAAAAGATAAAATAACCAAAAAGCTCAAGATGTGTTTGGTAACCAGCTTATTTAAGCAAAATTAGTTTATTTGACCAATATTAGCTTATTAACTAATATAAAGTGTTTGGTGGAAAACTTATTTAAAGAGCTTATTCCACTAAATAAGCTCTTTTACAAAAAGCTCCTAAAAAGAGCTTTTTCAAATAGTTTATTCAATTTATTATGATGAAATGACACTTATACCTTCATTTACTTTAAAATCCTTTATGAACGACCTACCTCATAATTAGCTTATTGATCATTTCACATACTTAATCAGCTTTAAACAACTAGCTATTTACCAAACACTTTTATACAATCAACTAAAAAAATAAGTTAGTCAACTCAGTTAATACAGTCAGATAGTCAAAATCAACTAACACAATCAGTTTCAGCTTTTAGCTTTAAGCTTTTCACCAAACAGGGCCCTAATATGAGCTTTTATAAAAAGAGCTTTTTTTTATTCCAAAACTCTCTTCCAAACCTCTAGCTACCAAACACCCTAAATAGCTTTTTGAGTTGGTTAAACCTCTTTTTCCTCCCAAACCTCTCTTTTTCCCTCAAACCTCTAACTCCCTAATACCCCCATAATTACACTATCCACCAACACTAAGAAAATAAAAAAATCTAAGCACATGCTTGGATCGGATTAGGGATAATATATTAAGAGGATAATTAAAGACAAACTAGGAAAAATATAAGTGACAAGAGATGTTGTGGTAAGACCTGGCAATCCTGACCCGAGTCGAATGATCCGACTCGAATGATTCAACCCGCTACCTAAAATAAACCCGAACTCAAACTAACCTATCCTGAAGTGGAGTTAATCCGAACGTGATCCGATGCTCGAAATGACTTGATTTGAAGTGACCCAAAACCCAAAAATAACCCTAACCCAATTTTCATTTGAATTATTGACTCGAATTGACCCTACTTGAAGTAACCTGATACCTAAACTGATTCTAGGGCTTCTTACTTTCTTAGGTAATAGGTACTCATCACCTTTTTTTTTTTTTAACAAATTTTACGTTATTTTCTAATTATTGTAAAAGTTATTATTGAAATAAAAGGAAATTTTCTTTATTTTTTTAAGTGACTTTATTTTTGGTGACTTGACCCAAATTTGACCTGATTCAATGCAAAATTGACCCAAAAATTGGTCCTAAAAATTGACTCGGTCGAATTGACCCGATCTTAACTGATATCACTAGATTAAACTCTTTGCAGTCACACTCACACCTTCACTATCTTCTCAATCCTCGTTTTCTACATTCACTTTATTTAGCTTAATCCAAGCATGCCATAAGAAGTAATGAGTATGAAAGTAACGAGATTAATCCAAGATGGATAAAGTATAGCATGGATGATTTGATAACACTATTGTCGGCGAAAACAGAGAATAGGGTACGAGTAGAGAACAAAAGGAGAGATCGTGACATATTATGTTTGTCAATGAACAGGAGTTTAAAGAAACGAAGCTTTAATTTTAGTTAAAGTTGTCGTAATCAGCAAAATTAAATGACTCACCTAAAAGACAATCGATTGCCATAAAAGCAGCGAAAGTCCTAGATCATTAGGCGGCACGTCAGGTTACCATATTTGACCATATTATAAGTCCTACGTAAGGCTCCACGTAATTACATTCTAATAATGCAATAATAATAATAAAATAAATCAATAATTCAACCAATACGGCAATACGCCAATACCCCATTTTGCCACACGCTATAAATAAACTTGTACAACTATCTCAATTTTGCACTCAAATTAATCATACTCATTCACCATGATATCCTCCTTCCAACACCACTTCATACTATTTTCTCTTCTCCTCCCCCTCATTGCCACCGCTTTCGCCACCACCTCCGTCCAACCCAAAGCCCTTCTCCTCCCTGTCTCTAAAGACGCCTCCACCCAACAATACATAGTCAAAACCACCCAAAGAACACCTTCCAAATCCGTGCCCTTAACACTCGCCCTTGGATCTCCATTCTTATGGCGGGATTGCGACAAAGGCTATGTCTCCTCAACCTACCGCCCTATTCGTTGTAACTCCGCCCAATGTACTTTAGCTGGCTCTACAGCCTGCAGTACTTGCAACTCACCTCCTAGGCCAGGGTGCAACAACAACACCTGTGGCCTCTTCCCAGAAAACCCCTTCACCAATACCGCCACCAGTGGTGAGCTTGCCTCAGATATCATCCGAATCAACTCCACCGACGGCTTAAACCTCGGTCCAGTCGTATCCACACCCAACTTCCTCTTCAACTGTGCACCCACCTTTTTACTAAAAGGCCTAGCAAAGGGTGTCCAAGGAATTGCCGGGTTCGGAAGGACTAAAATTTCTATCCCTTCTCAACTTACCTCCACTTTCAGTTTGTCTAAAAAGTTTGCCCTTTGCTTAACCTCTGATGTCACAAGTGTAGGCGTCATATTCTTTGGAAACGGCCCTTACAAACTCTACCCTGGACCTCTGTACGTCTCATCTTCATTTTCTTACACCCCTATTTTGAAAAATCCAACTACCTCATCCGATTACTATGTCGGAGTTTCGTCCATTAAAATCGGTGGCAGCCAAGTTCCAATCAACAAAGCCTTATTATCCATAAACAACAAAGGCAGGGGCGGAACTAAGTTCAGTACAGTTAACCCTTACACAATCATGGAAAGTTCTATATACAAATCAGTAATTTCTAACTTCGACAGTCAACTCAAGATACTATATCAACAAAGAGGTTATCCTAATGCTACACGGATCAAAGCTGTTGCCCCGTTCGAACTCTGCTATGATAGCAGCACGATTAGTTCAACAAGAGTAGGAGTCGAGGTTCCGAATATTGAGCTAGTGTTACAGAACGAGAAAGTGATGTGGACGATCTTTGCTTCAAATTCGATGGTTGGTGGATTGAAGGCGAACCCGAATGCGTTGTGTCTTGCCATTGTGGATGGCGGGAAGAACCCACCGGCATCGATTGTGTTGGGAGGATATCAGTTGGAGGACAATTTGGTGCAGTTTGATCTAGCAAAATCTATGGTTGGGTTTAGGTATTTAGTGAATGATATGACTAGATGTACAAACTTCAACTTCACTTCTGTTGCTTGAATTGAAGTAATTAAGCCAATAAGATGATACAGTATTATTTCTTCTATTGCTTGAGGTAAATTAAGTTATTAAGATGTTATAGTGTATTATTCCCTCATCAAATGAAAATGATCTTGTTAATTGTTCCATGTACTGTTAATGTAATACTCCATAATAAATAAAAATCACTTTGTATATT